GTGATTTCCTTACGGGCGAGTTGGCTTATTGAATGCGGCATTGTCCGCCTGTCTATTGGTGAAAGGGGTGAGGGTGGAGGAACGGGAGGAGGGGAAGCGGGGTGGGGGGGGGGGAGGGAGAGAGGGGTGGGGGGGGTAAGGAGGGGCGAACCTGGGGGACAGGACAGAACCGAGCGGGTCGACTGTTGAGCCTTTGCACCCCGTGTCTCCCGGCCAACGCTCTTTGGAAAACTTAAAAAAAACCAAAAAGTTATTTGACGGCAATAAAAGCCATCAACACACAGTGGACACAGGAGGCTGCCCCGGCCTTTGTAAAAAGTTTGCCTTATAATTGACGCTGTCTCTGACCCCCCCCCCCCACACCCTCCACCCCCCCCCCCCCACCCCCCACCCATCACCTCCCATCCCCCCTGGAATGTTTTGTGAAGTTATTTAAATAACAACAACAATAAGAGGAAAAAAAAAGTCTCCTTTCTCTCCGAGAGTGGGGGGGGAGGGGGGGGGGTTTGATTTAACGATTAGCTATTCTTTGACCCCCATTGCATCCCCCACCACCCCCCCCCCTCAACCTCTGACCCCCTCTCCTCCTCTCGGTACCTCGGAATCTTTAAACTGGAGAGAGAATAAACTTGTCTATTCTGGGGGGCACGGGCTGAATGTTAATCACTGGGGGAGAGGGGGATGGGGCAATAAAGCTTCATATTCAAACCGGCTCATTGTTTGTGAGGGGGGGCGAGAGGGAGGGGGGGGGGGGTGGGGGGTTTAGACACTGAAAGGCAGCCCCGATCATTCATTCATGCTTTGTGCGAGCTCCAGCAGGGCTGCCTACAGATCCCTCTGCCGTCTCCCACTATATTCCAATGGCAGCAGCTTCCCCTGTGAGTAATGCTCTGTTGTAAATAAAGCGGTTTTAACATGTGGCTGGATGTTGTGTGTGCGGGTGCGGGTGCGGGCGGGCGTGCGTGCGAGTGTGTGTGGGTGTGCGCGTGGGTGTATATGAGTGTGCATGTGTGTATGAGTGTGTGTGCGCGCGCGACAAAGTATGTATCGGTGATTCTCGTCGTTTTATTTTTCCTCGGTTTGAAACTTAACATCCAACCCGCGTGTTAAAATCATGTTAAGCTGTGTGAGTGGTGATTGTGTGTGTGTGTGTGTGTATGATTGTGAGTGTGATTGTGTGTGTGTGTGTGTGTGATTGTGAGTGTGATTGTGTGTGTGTGTGTGTGTGTGCGTATGTGATTGTGTGTGTGTGATTGTGTGTGTGAGTATATGATTGTGTGTGTGTGAGTGTATGATTGTGAGTGTGATTGTGTGTGTGTGTGAGTGTGTGTGTGTGTGCGTGTGTGATTGTGTGTGTGTGATTGTGTGTGTGAGTATATGATTGAGTGCGTGTGAGTGTACGATTGTGAGTGCGATTGTGTGTTTGTGAGAGTGTATGATTGAGTGTATGTGAGTGTATGATTGTGAGTGTATGATTGTGTGTGTGAGCGTGTGCGCGCGCGGGGCAAAGTATATTTATAATCGCGTCCTCGTTCTTTGATTTTTTCTTTGGTTTGAAAACTTAACATGGTTCACTTCCATTTCGCTGTGTTTTTTTTAAAAAAATTTATTGTGCTGTTAACGCGGTGGGTTAAGAGGTTAAAAAAAAACTGGTTTTAACTTTTTTTCCTCTTTTTCTTTCTCTTTTTCTCTCTCTCTCTCTCTCTGCAAAGAGATTACAAATCAGGATTAAAAGCATTGTTTGCCACGCAGTTGCTTTTATTCAGAGGTACAAGAGCCCAGTAGATGGGGAGGGGGGGGAGAGAGAGAGAGAGAGAGAGACGCGGAGAGAGATAGGGAGAGAGAGAGCAAAGAGGTTTTCTTTACAAAGTTTGGCAGCGGAAACGAAAAGTGGGATTGGAGTCTCTCTCCGAAAGGCACTTTTCGTGGGTTATTTTAGCGTTGCACGGGGAAGCTGTGAGGCGCAATGTTTTTTTTGTCAACTCCCCCAAGTAAATCATGCAGCGAAATGTCTCTCTGATGGGTTTAGCGGCCCTGCGGAGAAGTTATAATAGAGGGGGCTGGTGAACAATGCAGATCGCGCTAGTGCCCTTTCACGTTCCGGCTCATTGAGTCATTGCTACTCGGGCCGTCGTGGACCCCTTTTTCATTTTCACTTGATAATGGTAGCGGAGTCCTTGCGGCTCAGTGGTTAGCGCATTCGCCTCACGAGCGAGAGGACCCGGGTTCGATTCCCGGGCGGGGGGGCGAAACCTTAGGCAGGTTTCCTTACTCCACGCGCCTCGGTTTACCCGGCAGTAAGCAGGAACCCGGTTGTTAGTCGATTGGCGGGTGGCTTTTCCGGGGGTAATAATCCCTTCAAAAAAAAAGAATAATTCGGTTCCTTAATCCACGGCTGTTTGCGGGGACGCTGCTGTGCGCGATTGGCTGCCGCGTTTCGCCCACAAAATACCCGGTCAATTCACTTTACAGTATATCCTGTGAAGCGCTTTGAGACGTCTCGACGACGTGATGGGGCGCTGTGTCAAGTAGCCCACCAGGGCTGTGTCACAGCCATCCCCAGGTTTCGGGGAAAGTTAAAGTTAACCCACTGCGTGCCTACAAATAGGCAGTCACAGTACCGAGACCGTGTTTCTATCCAGCTCGCACTCAATCAGCCCCGTTACGTTCACCTACAAAAAATACACTGTCACGGTGCCCTTAAGTAAAATTCCTGTGAAGCACTGTGAGACGTTCTCCCGACGTGAAGGTCACTGTGAATGTTATTGTTATTATTGTTTTATCACAGTTTAAAGCATTCTGTAGATGTAGTTTCCAAGTGGTGTTCAGTGATGGGTCAACCAGACCCAAAACACCGCCGCTTTCCACATAAATGGGTGTTACTTTTCTTGATTACCTTACGCTCGAACCTCCTAAAATAGCTGCTTTTGTTTTTTTGTCGAGCCTTTTGGAATAGCTGTAATAAGAGTTTTAGTTTCACCGATGATTCTCGGAACTTTGTCACATCCGTCCGCATCCAATCTGTAGATCGATAGTATTTCCAGATTTTCTCTCGTTCCTTTCTCGAATCTCTCACATTGCAATCGTTTGGGATAGCCACATCGATAATACAATCCACGTACAATATTATTATTATTATCATTATTATTATTATCATTATTTTTTCCGACTTTCCTTGCGCCTTTGAAACACTTTTGTGTTTGACCTGAAAGGCGCGCTGCATCGAATGCACGGATGATTTATTTATTATATTTCGCTGTCTTTTATCGTGTGCTTCTGTTCCACTGACCTGTTATGGGTCGGTTACGCACGATAGGTGACAGAATTCGCAAATTGTCGCCGCGCTTTGCTTTGGGTTGTGTGACACTAACTTTGTTTCTCGATTTAACTTAAACTCCCTCCCTCCCTCCATCCCTCCCTCTTGAAACCTGCAACGGACATTCCTTACTCCACACGCCTCCATTTACCGAGACGTAAGTAGGAACCCAGTTGTTGGTCGATCGGCGGATCGCTTTCCGGGGGTAATAATCCCTCCCAAAATGAGAGAGATTATTACCAAGATGGACCTGTCCCCTTGTCAGCCCTTTGGATGTGACATTAAAACCCGAGGTCATGTCTGCCTGTTCAGGTGGGCGTGAAAGATAGCGCAAAACTATTTGATGAAAGAGCAGGGAGTTATCCCGGTGTCCTAGCCAACAATCCTGCCCCCCCCCACCAACCCCCCCCCACACACACACACACTCTGGATATCGCCGGATAAATTTTTCTTTCACTTCGTGATTGTTTGAGGGACTTTGCTGTGCAAGAAATAGACTGTCGTGTCTGCCTGCAAATAGTCCGTCGCTGCACTTGTCAGCAAATCCCCCTCAAAGCGCTTTAAGTTACCAATTATTATTTTTGTAATGAATTTTTTTTGAAAGGATTATTACCCCCGGAAAAGCGATTCACCAATTGACTGACAACCTACTTACTTACTGCGAGGTAAGCAGAGGCGTGTGCAGTAAAGAAGCGTGCCTAAGGTTTCGCCCTTCCCGGAATCTGAAGATAGTTCAATATGTGTAATAATCCCTCCAAAAATGAGAGAGATTATTACCAAGGTGGACCTGTCTCCTTGTCAGCCCTTTGGATGTGACATTAAAACCCGAGCTACGGGAACAAAATTTCCTCGTGAATGTGTTCCGTTTTTGTTTGCGCTGTAGAAAAGAACAACAGCCGAGTTTGAGAATAAAGCCCCGATGAGGAATTGCATATATCAAAGAACTAGGAAGAACCTTGCCCGAGGAAATAGTAATAATAACAGTAATAATTGTAATAGCGATAACAGCAATCGTCCTTCCATTTGATGCAACGTCTCTCGCATTGGGGAGACATCTCAAAGCGCTTCACAGAATTCACTGCAAAGTGGAGGGTCTGTTCGTTCTGCTGGCGAATGCGGCAGCCAACCTGCCAACAGCCACGTGTGTGTGGCAAACAGCCGCAAAGTGAGCACGCACTTTTACCTGAGGGCAGATTGTTGGCGGTGAGACTCCCTTCTCTTTTCGAGTCGCACTGCGGGACAGTTAATGTCCACCTGAACAGGCACAGGTGGGGACCTCAGTTTAACGTCTCATCCAAAGGACAGCACCTTAGTCAATGCAGTTCTCTCTCTCGGGGGTGGGGTTGGGGGGGGGGGGTTGGAGCGGGGCGGGGGGAGGGTGTGGGAAGAGAGGAAGGGATAGGCGAGGCGCGTGGCCACATCGCTTGCGTTTCGATGGACACGATAACGCGGGTAAAGTCTTGTTATTTCTCCTTCCTCCACACAGAAGTCGAAAGCCCTGGGCCCGAGTGTGTAAGAGAGCGCAGGAATGCAGTCTCAATGCGGCCCCACGGTACAGGGCAAGCCTATTGCAAGATAAATGAAGAGCCGTGCACCTCCAGTGACTCCGTTGGCTCGTCCCCAAAGAACAAGAACCCTCTAGGCTGTCTGCCGCACTTAGCCGAGCAGCACACTCCTTACAGGGCGGTCTGTCTGTCAGTCGACCCCCGAAATGGCTACATGGACCACCGCTATTGTACGTATCCACGCACCTCTGATACTCGTTACTGTTTTACCCGGGTGGGACACCTTATCAGGGTGATTTCCCCACCCCCCCATCCACTCCGCCTATTCCCCTCCTCACCCACCCACCCGCCGTCCCACCCACCTGCCCTCTCCGTGATTACCCCCCCGACCCACCGCATCCGCTAACCCCTCAAAGCAATCCCATCCCGGCCCCACCAACCCCTTTCCCCCAACACCCCTCTCCCCCCCACCACCCCTCACCCCCGCATCAAATCACCGTAAAATAGCGAATGAGTCAGGGCAAAAGTCATCCGATTACAGGTGCCAGAGTTCTCCTTTGTGTCAAGTATTTTGGTCCATTCTCGCCTTTGTGTCATCGACATTATTTTTTCTTGTTGGGAGTTTTTGTTATGTATTATATGTACACATAATCTGATTTGTGTGTGTGTGTAGAGAGGTGTGGGGGGTTGGGGGGGGGGGGGGTGAGAAACGCTATCATTTTAACATCTACATGTCAGAACCCTGTCTCGCACTGTGTTTCCGAAAATGTTATGTTCTCCCACTTCCCTTTGGAGGTGTCCAAGGTCGATGATAATTCGCCGTCGATGGGAATGTTCATCAACTCTCAGTTTATTGTGGAAATAATCATAATCGCCTGCAGGGCTAATGAGGGAAAGGGCGTGTAAATGGGACTGAAACGATTGCTCTCACAATAGCCGGTGCGGACACGATGGGCCGAATGCCATTCGTCTGAGCTCCAGCAGTTCCCCCACTGCACACTCTGGGCTCCCCCACCAAGCCTTGGCTTTCGCCAACCTGCGCCTGATACTATCCGGAATTAGATAAGCAAGGAGAGAGAGAGAGAACGCATTCCACTCCAACAATGTATCGCTGGGATTTCCATGTGTAGGGGGGATGTATGGACTTCTCAGTCGGGTTTGGAGACTCTTAAGCAACGGTGATGGGTCTCCGCGTGTGTCAGACACCCGGCTGACCACATGTGTTGGATGAGAGGAGGGGAGGGAGAGGGACGGAGTAAACAGGAATGGGAAACCCTTCTCTTCCTCCCTTCTCTCCTCTCTCTCCCTCCCTCCCTCCCCCAGCTCTACCCCATCCATTGTGCCGTTATTTGAAACCAAAGCTCATTCAAATTGAATAGCAGAAACTCAGCACCGTTACTGAATTCTTTCTGATAATCCTATCACACGGTTGATCAGGTCAGGGGTCCCAATGATAAAAAAAGAAGGAAAAGTAAGTTCTGAAAATGCTTATCCTCCTCTCTCACCCCCCCCCCCCCCCCATCCCCTCCCACCACCAAGAGAACCACCTACAAACAACATATACATGTCAGAAAGAGCTAAAGATTCCGCTGTTTTATAGTTAAAAGAGGGTAATACCTTCTCTATCCCCTCCCCCTCTCCCCCGACTCCCCCCCCCACCACCCCCCACTCTGTAGAATTCCATCTCCAATTCCCGCTGCTTCACTGTGTCCTTTCAGCTTTCAAAAACCTCCTGGAAAAATTATCCCCGGTGCAATCTGTCGGCAAGTCGGGTGTGTTTCTCTCTGCAATGTCGGCAGTGTTTCTGGTTTGTGAGTGGAATAAACCTGGGTGACAACTGATGCTCGTTCACACACCCTCACAGTGGCATCAGTAATAATGATAATAATAATCCTTGCATTTGATATAGCGCCTTATCACGTCTTTGAGCATGTGCTGTAAAGTGAATTGCATTGACTGTGTACTTTGTGAGCGAAGTACTGCAGCCAATTTCTCACAGTAGTGTCCCGCAAACAGTCGTGGATTGACTGAACCGAATTCTTTTTTGTTAAGAGGTCATTACCCGCCCATCGACGAACAACCGGGTTCCTGCTTATTGCGAGGTAAAAAAAGAGGCGTGCGTAGCAAGGAAAGTCGCCTAAGGTTTTGCCCTGCCCGGGAATCGAACCCGGGTCCTCTCGCTGGCGCTCGAAGCAGTACACGCTATTGTGGGGAAGGGGAGAGACAATGTTTCGCCCCCACACAAATCCGGAGGCCATTTAGACTCTGAAATCATTCCTAAATATAGCCAACAAGCTGGGCACATGCGCTATCGGTGCATGTGGCGATGGCTAGCTCCGAGAGTACAAGATTACTCCCCTGGACCCATTTTGAGCAGCAAAAAAACAATCCGCAGATTAATGAGAAGGGAGTTTCTTAAAACTAACAGTGCTCTCGGCATCTGGTTCAAATCTTCCCTGGAGTTGAAGCGCATATCAGACGTAGCCCAGATTTGTTGTGACTCCAGCCGCGTTTCAAAGGACTTTACACATGGCATAAAAATGCTATTTCTCAAGTAAATGAGATTTGCCGGGCTCTGGAAAATTGATGTAGGAGTCTTTGTGTTTATCTAAGTAACATGACCACATCACGGTCTCGCTCGCCTCTTTTTGTAGTCTGTACTTGACTTATCTGTTGTCAGGATTATTTATGGAGCGGTTGGCAGATCAGCAGATGCAGTTCTGAAGAGTGGAAGTTTGATGTTGAAGGCTTAGCTTTTGCGATGAGTTCGGTGCTGTGCGTTGGTGTGGTGTGTGTGTGTGTGTGTGTGCATGTTTCTGAGTGAGATGTTAGTCCAACAAGCTAGAGAGAGAAAAAAAAAGCAGAGATCAACAGCAGAAATCTGTTAGCTCAGTTAAGTCTGTCATCTGGATTAAAACAATAGTAAAAATAATAATCCTTGCATATTAAATAATAATAACAACGCCTTATCGCGTCTTCGAGACGCCTCAAAGCGCTTCACAGAACATACTTTATATCTCTGTGGCCGATAAGCATTCATTGCACAAAATTCTGATCAAAACGGTTGTTTTTTTTTCCCCACACGTGAGCCTAAGGTGGTGATTATTTTGACGGGAGTGGGTGGGGGAAAGGGGGATATTGAGACTGCATGGGCGACCTCCTTCTGTCTTCGCTTCACATCCGAGTCCGAGTTTGTCCTGAGCAGCCTGGAGGGAAAGAGGAGGAGTCCGAGGTGAAGGAATGTTGTGTGTCCGCCTGGCTCAATCGAGAGCCCTCACATCTGAGTCGGAAGGTGGTGTGTTCAGGGGCCCCAACGTTCAAGGACTTGGAACCTGTACGCTCTGAGCTGACATTCCAGCGCAGTGCTGGGGGTGTGCTGCAACGTTGGAGGTGCCGTCAGAGGAGACGTTAAACTATGTGGAGTTCTGTAACTCAGTGGTTAGAGCACTCGCCTCGCAAGCGAGAGAACCTGGGTTCGATTCCCGGGCAGGCAGGGCGAAACATTGGGCAAGTTTCCTTACTCCACACGCCTCTGTTTCCCCAGCAGTAAGCAGGAACCCAGTTGTTAGTCGATTGGCAGATGACTCTTCCGGTGGGAATAATTCCTCATAAAAAATAATAATAAATGACTTCAAACTCCCAACTGTTTGCAGGGACGCTGCTGTGCGCAATTGGCTGCCGCGTTTCGCCCGCAAAATATACAATTCACTCTAGAGTATATTCTGTGAAGCGCTTTGAGACGGCTGGAAGACTTGATAAGGCGTTATATCCAATCCAAGGATTATTATTATGTTCAGTCTGCCTGTTCGGGTGAGCATTATAGAACCCGTAGCACTATTTGAAAAGATAAGGGAGTTTCTCTCTCTCTGCCAGTGTCCTGGCCAACAATCCCCAACCCCCTCCACCACCAAAAAAAAATCGGTCAATCGTTTGAAGGCTGTTTGTGGGACATTGCCGCGTGCGATTGTGGTGCCACATTTGCCTCCAAATACACAGTAACTCCATTTCGCAGTAAATCCTGTGAAGCGCTTTGAGACGTCCTTCCAACATGACAAGTCGCTGCGTCAAATAAAGCGAGGACTATCATTGTGTGGAACAAAAGACTTCAGGTGGCTAATGGCTTCTGTCTTCTAAGAGAGGTAGGCGATACTCATCTACACTTCAGAGAGTTTAAGATGCTTGTTGGCGGGTGTCGGCCTGGTGCGGTGGTGGAGCTCTCGCCTCTGAGTCAGAAGCTTGTGGGTTGGGTTGGTGACGATGATGGGTTCCCACATGTATTCAGACGCCCTGCTGACTTAGGAAAACCACGGAAACCCATCATCATGCTTAAGAGCCTACAAACCAAACTACTAGAGTTCCACTTTGTGAATGGTTTCCGTTCAACACAGCTCTCTCCTGCGCGCCAATCATCGAGGTGGCAGGACCGTTCAACAGGGCTGGGGATAATGTGCAGCACTGTGCTGCAAATCAAAGGCAAATTCACTACAATTTGGGTTGTAATAAACTCAATGGTTGGTACCTGAGCAGGGAAAGCTGAACGAGCCATAGGTCATATTATCAGCGGCGATCGTTATCACAGTGGCCCAAAATGTGATCAAAACTAGTCTACATTCAACCAGTGACTGCACTTTTGGCTGATGTGATAATTGCCACCGGTGGTAATATCCCATGCCGCAACTTTGACCCCCATGTAACAGGCACTCCCCCAACATTGGCCTTTCCCCTTTAGTCAAGCCCTTGTTCTGAGGGCCAGTGACACAGTCTGTCTCACTACAGTCACTGCAATTTGGAACTCTCTCCCCCAAAAGGCTGTGGGTTATGACTGGATCCATTCAAACTGAGGTGGATAGATGTTTGTTAGGTCAGGGGAACAAGGGATAGCGGGCAAAGGCAGGTAATTTTGGAGTTGAGGTACAGGTCAGCCATGATCTACTAGAATGGCGCAACTGGCTCGAGTGGCTGAATGGCCTCCTCCTGTTTCTACGTCCCCACTCCCCTCTTGTCCACTCCCTTCCCCTCGAGTCGTACTTTTACTGGTTGCTTGTCGCTCTCGGAGTGGCCGGGATTCGAAAAGATGTGAGGAAAAGGCTGCGGCTTTTAAGTAAACTTTGTCATTTTTTTAAGAGCCGAGAGAGAGAGCCGTCCATGTCAACACGGAGAGAGATCACAAACAGCGGCCTCCGCTTTTGTGTGGGTCTAATTGGCAGGATAGTTAGTTCATCGAGGGTGC